ATATTCAGATAACCGTGAGCAAAAAATTAACATTGTATACATAAAATTGTATATCAAGCTTTCTTGAGATAATCCTCTACAATGAGTTTCAACACTTATTTAATTCATTACATCTAAAATCGCCGTATTAAACATTATTATGTTCGAACTACGTTGAAAAATATCCACTTTGGATCCCTATTAAACGTTCCCTCCGCGATGGTACCAAGAGATACAAACTTTCGCAAACAATGTACCGCGTCGCAGAACGCCGAGATACATTTCCATCTTTCCATACCCTTCCAAGTTTAAAACCCCGCAATCGAAAGCTAGTCGGCCGAGCATTTCCGCAGCGCGCGAATAAAATCCGCGGAAACACTTGCCAGCTGAAAAACGTTCGACGATCGTCGCGGCCCAACGACGACAACGAGGACGGGCGGACCGGGACGAATTAACTTTTACCGAAACTGCTCGCATCCCACTCGACCCCGGGGGCGAACGAGAATTTCGCTGTCGGATTAACCCTCTTGACCGAGCGCGAGAACACAGCATCGAAGAACGCCAACCGACGGGACGGATGACGGAAAGAGGCGGCGAGGGGCGGTAGCGGCAGCGACCACCGAGGAAAGGAAGCAAAATGAGAACTGGCGGCGGGGTTCGGGGGTCAGGGGGGTGGCTGCCAGGTGAATTCTAAGCCCGAGATTCTCCATCCGTGGCTGCGCGCGCGCTGCAAGTGCACCCCGGTGCTAATTAAAATCAGACCACGTGTCTTTCCGAGCCATGGTCACGAAAAATAAACGGAAAAAGATCTTTTCAACGGTGCCCGTAAACCCACCCTTCCGCCTCTTCGCTCCTCCGCTACACTTTCGCCGTCTCTCTCTCTCCCGGTTCTCTCCTCTCCGTCCCTCCTGCTCGGCAACCCCCGGCAACGTCGTCCTCAGCGCACCCCACGCCGGCTTAATTATCGTCCAAGTGTTCTTTAAAGAGCGAATTACACGCTCGATGTTTACCGCAAGCTCGAAGCTTTTCATTCGTCCCGCACTCTTTTTCCCTCTCTCGGCGTCCTGCACCCTCGCCCACCCCGACCTCCGACCCCCGCGTTACCATTTCTCCTACTCGATCACCCTTGTACCGTGACTCGGGCGGAGAGAGGAACGCCAGCCGACGCTTCTTTTACGCCTCGAACGCATCGACTGGTTCCTCGATCGTCGATGTCACCGAGAGCGAGAAATTACGGAATTCGCTTCCGATCCCCTGCAGGAGCCCGCTGCTCTCGGAACGCACGTTCGACTGCTTTCCGGATGTTGTCATCGAATATTAGCTCGGTTTTTTGTGCTGGACCTCCGAACCTGCTTTTTCACCCTAGAACGACCTCCTATTTTTCGGCGCAAGTAATATTGTGGGCTTACGGACGACCCAAAATAAAATCATGACAATTAAAATATTATTTTTCATATTCTTCTTTGGACACACCTTAAGGAAAGATAATATTTATTTACACGAGTGTAGAATAATTAAAAATTTTGTGGGGTCGCCAATCTTCAGCATTATGATAGACTACGTTAAAGGATTGGATGGTGGAAAATTAACAAGTAGACTGCAGACTTTATGTGTTTCTGACAAAAATTACTAGAACGAATGCGAAACTATGGAGACATCAAAAGAGTTTCAAAATAATTGTATATTATGTAACACCTGTTGAAGTTATTAGAAAAGATAAGACATTTTTATTTAGTGGAAAATTTAAAAGACCAAGAATTCCGTTATACATTATTTTTTAGCTATCGAACTAATTAAGAAAGAAAACAAACTTTTACTTTAGTTTGTTGCAATTGAGGTAGGCAATTTTTAATTTTCTAGTTATCAGTCATAAATATTGAAATAACATAAATAATAATATAAATATTATATCTGATTGGCTCGATTTGCAGTCTCGATTATCCAGTGAATAGAAACACGGTGAGAGAGCCTCTGTTATCGGAACACCTCGGTTATCCGAACTGAATTATCCCTCGATGTATTCGAACAAACGAGGTTCTACGATATCCGAATATTCGTGTCACTGTACTTAGGTCGAATAATCGAAGTTCCACCATTCTATCGGCCCTTCGACCCGTCGAAAACATGCGTCATAGAAAGTCCGACGATAGGGAACGAAGCTTGTCCTCCGGGAATTTACGAGTTCCCGTGGCCCCTTGATCGCGCGCGCTGTTTTCTTTTCGACAACCGCAGAAGATTCGTCAGGCTAGAAAACGTTCGAGGCACAGGTAAAGGTGTTCCCGCTCGTTCCCTCACCCCCTCTCTCTCTCTCTCTCGCTCTCGAGAAGAGCGAATTTCTCGAGGGCCTTATAAGCCGCGGCAGCAATCGGCAGGTGAAAAACTCGGCGATTCCGTTCCGCGAGATTTCGCCCCGCTCGTTTTTCTTCCCCTTTATCGGGAATTTCTTGCCGCGCTCTCTCGCCACTTTGAGACACGCGATTTCCTCGCCCCGTTTTCCACGGGCGACGTCGATTAACGAGTCAGCCATTGAGACCCGGATCCGCGTGTTCTTGCCGCTCCCGCCTGGCCCACCCATTTGTACCCCCCCGCGTCGCCCCACTTCTTTTTCCTCTGTTTCCGTCTCACCACTCGCCGCCACCGTTTCTCTATTTTTTTTCCTTTCCTCCTTTTCTACTTCTCCTCGCCATCGACGTTCGTTTTTTCCTTTAACTTTCTCCCCTCTTGTCTCGCGTCGGACCGACCGCAATGCTTTCGCCGCGGAAAAACGCAGCGAAACGCGGTTAAAGTACACGCTAAGGGGAACAAATTTGAAGCTCATTACCCGCTCCTCTTTTCAGATACGAACCGAGGGGGAGATGCCGGCTGAAATCTTTACGCGCGTGTTCGTTCGTTTCTTCCTTCCTTCTTTTTTCGACCGTGGCCGCTTCGGATTCATTTTCCCGCGGCCTCGACTCGTCGTCGTTTTCGACTCCTAATCGGTTTCGGTAATCAATTCTTTCCCCGAACCGCCGGCGAATTTCGAGCGAATCCGGACTCCTCTCGGATTCTGGGTCATGCGCGGTGAACGACTGCAGGACTCTTGAACTTTTGTGTTCGCTATTTGGAGAACGATTAGCCTGCTTCGGTTTTCCGCCGATCACACTTAGTACATATTAGAAATTAAATCAAGTTTAAACAGATCTTCGCCGAATGTTCTCCAATGAAGGATCACAAACTATTATCGCTGTTTGTTATCCATGAATAGACTACAGATTTACTGGATTTGTAGTGAGAATGAATAGGCGAAATTTAAAACAGCTTGAACATCGATTTAAAATTAAATAAGGATTAAACAAATTACATTCTTTGTTCTCCAATGAAGGATCAGAAATTATTGTTGTTGTGTTGTTTATGATTAGACCATAGCCTAGATCTAATATATTTGTGAAAGAATGGATAGACCAAGTTAAAAACGGTAGAAACAATATTTATTTGCTTCCAGTACTTCGCAGCTAATGCGAACAATTCTTATTTTCCATAATAATCCACACAATAGTCGATTATTCCTCTTTTATCGTTTCTTAGCTTTCAATGCCTTGCGTTCGAGAATTTGCATTGTCTTCTATGATTTTCGTCATTCTAAATAAAAACAGCTTCGCCATCTCGTCATAAAGATGCACAATCGAAGACTTTGGTTCAAATGCAGTGTAAGTGCAACTTTTAAAAGTTGTCCAACTCGTTCATCGAACCTGTTTACCGAACTCGACTAATCGTTCCCGACGAAACAGATTCCGCGATCCGACGAAAGTCCCTCCGACCGAAATGCCATAGTCGTACAAACAATAATCTCATCGAAGTATCACGTTCGTTTACCCGTCCAACAAAATTCCGCGCGGCGGGAGCGCGACGAGAGCGTCGGTGCAGCATAAATATTTAAATTTCCCTCCACCCACGTAATCTATTTAAAAGCTGTGCTCGAACCGCGCGTCCCTGGTTTCCGGGACATTGATATCCGGATGATTGTCCGAGACAAAACATCCCGAAGCCGGGGAACGTTGATCGCGGGCCGGGCGTTTCAACCGTGAGCGTGGGCGTGCGGGGATCCTTTTGGCTGGTTTACACGAATCCATCAGCAACCATCGCCGGCTACCGGTTTCGACGATTTCCGTTGGCATATTTCCATCGTTCCCCGATATCGCCGCGGCAAAAGGTAAAGAGGGAAAACCCGGCCGAACGAAAAAAGCCTTCCAATCCCTGGAAGCAACGAATTGTCGTCGTGCTCGCCCCTCTCGCCCGCCCCCGCCGCCTGCTACCCTCTTCATCCGTGCCTTCCTCCACCGGGGGCTCCAACCCTCCGCCATTCGATTTTCCACTATTTTCCGATCGTCCGTTCTTCCCCCTCGTCTCGTCCATTTCCATCAGTCTCCTCTGACGTTTATACTTTCGTGAACGGACCCGAGGGCTCCGCGGGGACGAGTTAAGGGGGTGGTCTTGATCGAGGGTGAGAGCACAGGCGGAAAAGACGATACGCGGACGTAACCGGAGGGACAAGAACGAACGGAGGACAGGAAGAGGGTGTACGAAGACGGCGAGGAAGAGAGAGGCCGAGGAGAACCAAGGGAACCAACGGGACGGAGGAAAAGGACGAGAAAGGGGGTGGTAACGGCCACCACCAAGGGCGAAGCAACCCTCCCTCTGTCTCTCTCACTCTCTCACTCTTTCTCTCTCTCTCTCTTGCTTTCTCTATCTCTACCTCCCTCCCTCCCTCTCGCCCTTGCTCTTGCTCTGATATATTGCCTCACCCGCAACCCTCACGCGCCCTAAACCATCCCTTATAGCCGCCATCTTGAAGGACTTCCAGCCACCCCCTTCCATCCTGCCCTTACCATCGCTCAACCCCGCACGCTCTCCCCTACAGCCACCCCGAACTGCGACCTGCACTCACCCGCCCGCCCACGATCGAAAATCCCGTTAGACTTATACGGGCTTAGCCCGTCCATTTTGACGAGGGGGTACGTGCCACCCCTGCGTACCAGCCGCCATCCTCTTTCTTCGCCTCTTGCGGAATTCCATGGGGCTTTTTTTTCTACCGCCACCCCCGGAACTGAGCCGACACACTGTTGCCGTTTTCCAAATGCCGTCGGACGTGCCTTCTAGGCCTCTGCCTTTCCCTACTCCTCTCGCCGATGGGCTCTCCTTTCTTCTTCTTCCTCTTTCTTCTTTGGTTTATTAGCAAAGCAGATTTGTGCATTGGGACGCGGACCAGGGGGCGGTTCGTTCTTTCACTTCTTGACGTAATTATCCGGTGACGAGTGCGTTCGAACATCTTGTTAATGTTTGCTGCTGTCACTCTGTTGGAGGTTCGGTCGGGATTAGAGAAGGGTGCGTGAAAATATTTTCAAGTTGTCTTTAAAAATTTTTGGCTTCGGATTCGTTGGTGAAGTTGTTGGGAATTTTTAATATGGAGCGTAAAAATGTGCATCAAGTGTATCGTTTTTAATATTGGCGACTTACTTCTGTTAGGATGGTTTTGGTCCGTGTTCTCTGCATTGTTTAATTCGTGTGTCCAGTGGAAATCTAATGGAACGTATAAATGTTAATATTAATGTAGGATATATTGTTGGAGATTTAGAATTTCCAGCGCGATTTTAAATTGGCTTGGAGCATAAAAATGACTGATTTGGAGCATAAAAATGAAGACCGAGTGTTTTGAATATTAGCGACTTACTTTTATTAAGATGGTTTAGGTCCATGCACTTTGCGTAGTTTAATAATCCGTGTATCCAGTGGAAACCTAATGGAACGTATAAATATAAATGTTAATGTAGGGTACATTGTGGTAAAATTGATTTGAGGAGATTGTTGACTTACTCGCCTTCTTCTGCAAACACAGCAGCTGTATACGATGATCAGCCCCTGAACCATCGCCTTCGACGGAAGCTCGGGAAAAGTTGATTTACGTGGTACACCATCAACCTGAAAAGTACATATCATTTTCTTTAAAAATGAATTTTCTATCGAACTCACCCTCGTGTATTCATTCTTTCTACTTTCACATTCATTTATGGTCGAAATGCTTTAGAAACTGCTGTTACCCTTTTCAGATCTTAATAAACAATATTCAAGAAAGTAATCTGACATTCAATTAAATGCAAAGTGAGAATGGACTAAATCTCATATAAAACATTCTAAAATCACCATCAATCCTTTGAGAACGAATGTCGACATAGAGACAATCTCAGGAGTGCATATCTTGCTGCAAAAATTGTAAACATATCATTTGATTATGCATGTTACAGAAGGTCAGGCTATTCTGTTCACTTTTCCCATTATTCAAGTGTTTCGAACACTTTTTAAAGAAATTGTTTTTAGTGCAACAAAGAATCCTCGTCCTCGAAGGCTTTATCCTCGAATTATACGACGACCAAAATTGCCAGAGATCATCGACGAACAAAGTTCGTGTACCTAATCAACGACCGAATCAAACAAACCCGAAAAACTATCCAAACGTAAGCGAATCGGCTACTTTCTCAGAAAGAGTCACCCGAAGCTGGCGCATCGGAGCCAGAAAACCAAGGTTCGACGACAAAGTGTCCCGAAAGAAACATCAGACACCGCACGAGCGCGTTGCAGTCGTTGAAAAACGTCTCGCAGTCAATCCGAGCGGCTCAATTTCGATCGCGCGGGGGCGGCAGAGGGTGAGGCGCCCCATCCGCGTGAACCCTCCGCGAAGATTCGTGGGGGTCTCGCGCGGAACGAGTAGGTGTTTCCGGTTTATTCCCGGAATTCCTCGAGGGGTGGCTGCGAGACCCATGGAACCCCTTATGACCGGGCCAAAGGCAACATCGGAAGGGAGGAAGTGCATTTTTCGGAGTCCTCGCGTGCCCACGGGATTCGCATGGTCCCCCTCCCCCCTCTTTGGCCCCCCATCCTGCAACCCGTCGCCGGCATCGGGGTACTTCGCATTCTGCTACATCGTCGCGGGATTTGATTATGCAAAGCGGCGGCCCCCTTAGGCCGTTTGCACTCCTTCGTCTCTTTCTTCCGACTCGGGCTCGAGGAGTCTGTTCCACCCCCATCCGGACACGTAGGCGGCCCATCCTGACTTTCAGCGTCCCGGGAACCTCACCTGCGGATTTTTCGAGGGATTACCGGCGCACGGTTTTTGGGAAATTGAAAACCACGCAGACGCTGTTCCCGTTTCAAGGCACCGTTTGTTTTCTCCGCATCAAGACGGTCTTGTCTTCGTCTAGGAGGATCCAGGATTTGGGATCGCGGCGGGACAGATTGTTAGGCTCCAGCAAATGTACTTGAGAATGTCTGAGAAGTCAGAGACAGGTTTCGGTGGTTCTTTGTATTGAGCTCCGTGAATGTTAACGGTGAGTAAAACAGTCAAAATGACTGGATTCTTTATTCTTTCTTTCACAATTTCCGAGATTGTGGTAGTGAAATGAAGAAACCTTTTGTGGATTTCTTTATTCAAGCATAATATTATAATAGAAATCGTACGAACTTTTAGAAAATCAAATTTTTGTCATTGTTATAAATGGTTATGTCATTGTTATAAATATACACACATTAGGCGTGTGTAGGGTCGACAGTTCTCATGTTAACACCAAATCTACCACGATGGTAAAATTTCGCAATTTTTATTTTTAAATTGTTGAAATTATAGAGACACTTTCGTGAAATATAATTGAATAAATTTCTTAAATAAAGTGTATGTTGTAATAAAAATGGCGAAAATTTTAGACGAATTCATACTTATTATACTTTTAATGTGAAGTAATATTTGAGTAATTGAGAAAATCTGCATTTTCATACATGATACCATAAACGTACTGAACAGAAGAGAACGTGGTCAGATCAATAAATTCCTGTAAATGTGTTTCGTAAGTCCAAAAATATTTTAATGGTGACTTTCTTAGGCTCGAGACATAGAACGCGATTCCAGTTGCCGGGCTAAAAATGAACCTTCGCGATGAGAAGACTTGTAGATCTTGTTGCATTTATCCTATATTAATATAGAAAGTCTGATTTCGATGTAGTTTTGGCGAATACGTTGCTGCAGGAAATGAAATTCTGTCTAATTGCATTTGGTTAGGAGCCACCAAGAAAGAGGATGGGAGATATCGATTTACAAGTTTCCGGCATTAAAAGGTGTCTTCACATAGCAGAAAACAGATTTTTACTACATCAACGATATTGTTCTACGAGATTGTGCAACACGAATTGAAAACTCGAGATGGAGGAAAAATTTTAATTGGAATCGAAAAAAGAGAGAAGAGAGAGAGAGTTAAATCAGGTATTCGCCTTACGACGACTATAACCTTGACATAACCCTTAACCGAACAACCAGTTGTTGTTTCGAAATGTTGCACATTACCAAGTTAGTAAAAGCAAATAAATTTACGTTGAAACATTGCAAACTTGACGAGTTAACAAAAGATTACAGTAATTTACAAATAATTACATCAACGAATATTAATCCGGTTAAGGGTTAAAAAGACGTTCGAAGATTGAATGAAAGATTAGATGCTCTATTAGAAAATATAAACAGACAAACGTTGCTTAAGATGGTGACCTTGTGAGGTGAAATTAGAAAAATCATTGAAACTGAATCGTGGTAATTATTCGTGAACATTTACTAGTACAATATGAACAGAACCAAATGTTCAGCTGCGAGAAATGAAGACCTCCAGAAAACGGTGAGCCGATCGGGACCACTGTCCAACGCTCCCTAAGCGCAACATTATCGAGTCTATCGATAATCGGAGGTTGCGGGAAGAGAGGGGATACCGGCACGGTTGCTACCCTCTTTCTCCTCCGTCTTTCCGGAACACAGAATCGATCGAATCCCCGCAAGGCAGTCGGTAAGCCTGCGGCTTAGGTAGCTGGGTACATCGCCACGGATTTGAATACTGTCGATTCTCAATTGTTGCGGATCACGCGCGGCTCTGCCAAAAAAGTTCGACCGTTCGATGCCGAGAGTACTCGATGGAGGGATGGAGACGGAGTTATCGAACGGCGAACGCTGTCAAAGACCAAAAGACAGAGACCGAAAAATACAGTGAAAAAGAGACAGAGAAAAAAGGAGAGAGAGAGAGACAGAGAGAGGGTGAGAGAAAAGATGTATATAATTTGGGTCCCCGGCGCGGCAGCTGCGTGGGTCCCGATATGCAAAAAAGGGGTTGCCGCACGGAATTAGAATATCCTCGCGGTCTCATTTGAATTTCAATCTCGCTGCGCGGACAGTTTTCCTCTCGCCGCTTTAACCCCCGGGGGCCCTAGGTATGCGTCTGCCTACCTACGGATTCTCAGGTAACCATCGGCCGAAGGGGTTGCCGGTCGAGAGGGGGAGGAGGGTTCACCTCTCTCTCCCTCTCCCTCTCTCTCTTTCTAACTCTGTAGTCTGCGCTGAAAAAGGAGAGGGGAAAAGCGAAAGAAAAAAAGAAAAGAGGGGAAAAAGGAGAGCACGAGCACGGCGTGCCCCATTAAAAATCCGCTGCGCCTACCTGGCGAACGAAAAAGGGAACGCCGCGCCGGGGAAATCGTGAACGCGGTGCGCACCTCATTAGAGCCGCGCTCCAACGTTAAATCCGATGCGCCGGGGGTTGCTCTCTCTGCCTACCCTTCGCGCGTCATTGGACGCACAACGGATTCTAAAGGTGTCGCTGGTACGCGTGCCGGAATAACGCGACGCTCCGCTCCGCTCCGCGACGCTCTGCCTCGCTCCACTCGCCCGCTGAATTAGAGGGAAAGAGGCTTATCGCCGCGCCGCGCCGCGCCGGGGAAAACGCCGGCAAGAATTCTTTCGTCGGGGAAAGGTAAACGTTGCATGGCCTGGAAAATGGCGGCGAGGCATGATCGACCTTGGAACGATCGAACTTCGCGCGAACCATCATCCAAACTACTACTTCGATGCGCTATCGCCGGTGTTTCTCGGTGATAGGCGTTCTTTAGGGATGGATAGACCCCGGATTTAATGTGTCCAGGGCGAGATCAGAGCAATGAGGATGTCAAAAGAATTGAAGAATATTTCGTTGTTTTCAGTTTTTGTTGGTCGTTAGCCGACTGTCGATTTGAAAAGAATTTAAGCACGCTTTGTTAGTAACAATTTTTTTTGGTCTCATAGAGCAGTAGGTAATATGGATACTTACGCCTTTGTTGCTCAAATGATTGGTTAGTATCAGAAAATTTTGTTTTGTAAGGGTGTTTAAAAGGCACTTGATTCACTATTTTGCCAATAGAAAACGAGACTTCTACGAGCACAAGATTTCAGAGCAACGAGAAAAATGTAGAAGACAATAGAAAACATACATCATTAAATAATGGTTACTCCAAACATTAAAAAACCGTCTTACATTTTCTCATGAAAGAACGAAATTATTTTCCGATTAACCCAATATGTATTCATTCCGAAAATGGATACGACAAAAGAATTGGAGGATGTTGTTACGTTATTTTCAGTTTTCATTGGTCTTGTGTAGCAGTAGATAATGTGGATACCTACACTTTTTGTTGCTCAAATGATTGCACTGATATGTGCGCCTCGTTGACTTTAAAAAAATTTGAATTTCTCTAAAAGAGTCTAAAATAGACTGACAAATACATTAAAACTAGCAGAATATTTTCGTTAGACATTAAGTACGAGTAAAATTCTGTAGAATAAACCGAATGCTGGCTCCAAGCACTAAAATATGCAATAACCAACGAACATTTAAATCCTTAGAGTGTTTCTAAAAGCGACGTAAAATTTGTCCCGGCATTGAATCAATAAGCCGACGTTTAACG